ATTTTCCAGAGTTTGTGGCCGACTGTAAAGAATTTCATAACTTCTCGAGCCCTTCCTTTTAACACCAGTTAAAAACAATTCAAGAAAATAATTGGCCTGCGTGAATGAATGCAGTATCTACTATGTACGTATCCTCTGATAACACCCATTACCAGTGTACATCACCGCATAATATATTTAGTCTCCGGTTAAAAACCTATTTTACTAGGTTAGGACAGGTTAGGAGGGGTTTGAGGACCTTGAGATGGCACTTTCTAGATAGGTTACTTACTCCAATACTCCAATACTCCAATATATTCCAATATCATATGTATAATTGTATAATTGTGTGTGACACCTTCCTAAAGTTGCCTAACAAATATCAGTTATTAGTACTGGACGATATTAGAGATTGGCACCATAATTCATAGTTAATTTCCACAGAATACAACACATTATTCGATGCAGGGATTGCGTAGGGCGGACAGAAAGAAGAAATGGCCCTTTTGGTCTGTTCTCTATATTCAACCAGTAAAATATTCAAATTCTCGTCCCAGTCTCGAGACAGCGTGCCATTCGCTCTCTAATATTCGCTCTCTAATATGTGGCTTGTTTTGTCAAAGCGGACACGTTAAAGAACCTTTATTTTATTTTCGTTTAAATATATAGTATTTCCAGTACTCGTATATTAGTTTACTAGGTAAGGTTTACTAGTTCTCCGTGGTGGTAAGGTGTTCAGAAGCTGGAGTGGTTGGACGTTCATTATACCTTTAGATGCGATATCACCTAAGATCCTCTATACTTGATAAATGATACCGTTTTATCCCATTTTGTAGAATGCAATCAGGAGATAGTTCAGATAGGTCTGCTGCACGAGGTTAATTGGGCAATTCTGCAAGCAATTCAGCATCCAATGATACAAGGGCAAACTTGCACAACCCAGTCGCAAAAACGTTTTTGGAGAGCAAAGCCCTTACATTAAACGACACCCTTTAATTTGAAAGAGGGTTCTGGTACAGTATGTTGTGACCCATGTGTTGAAATGTGAAATGCAGCAACAAATTAGAAGTGGCAGGGAAGGTTCACTCCAGTGAGACCAATTCCACTGACCGGCATTCTCACTTTCGCAGACAAACAATTTTTAACTCTCCGTTTAAAAGGTGTTGAGAAAATTTGGTTGGGCGGCAATCCGAGAAAGGCATACGGTTATCAACACATTGATTGGATAAGTCGAGCAGCTCTCCTGCTGCTACATTGTACATGTGTATATTATATATTATTATTATGTTGTGCTGTCAAATTCCGACCCGCCACAACTAAAACATCTTAAATTCGATTAAATGTAGCACGTACCGGGAAAGTACTTAATACACTTGAATTAAATAAACAAACGTTATAATTTACAGTCAATTAACACATAGTGATGTTATAAATCATTCACATTTTCACTTAGATGAATCAACTAAAATAGTAATTATAGAATAATGTAATGAAAGTAGTGGCTGAAAGGGCAACGCTTGTTTTTGACTTATAAAATCCCCAGATCAATTACATTGAACCCTAAAATCCAAAGTCTATCTGTAAATTAGTGAAGAGTCCAGATTCGATCAGCCGAGTATAATATTAGTGTGAATCAGATTTAATTTTCAGTAAATCATCGCAAATCCAACAATTTTAATGTCCCAGTGAAAATGAGGTGTAGAGATTGCAATAACTGAGGCATTGGGATACTTGGATATGAGCGGTGTAAGTCAGGCATAAACGGAGTTAAGATTACAAGAAACTTGGAATTAGTGATGGACCTATTTCATAGTTTACATAATATGTCTAGGCTTTTACACGCTCATCGCAAGTTTCTACATGTTTTGAAGACTATAGTTAGTGCTCCAATAGAAATTGGGTATCTATTGTAATAACTGAGGCATTTAAACAGCCAGGAGGACCTTCGGTTGTGAGGGCTGCGCTGTCAGCACTGCATAAAACCGACAAGGTGGTTTCTATTTGTCATTAAAATCTAAGCTTCAATCATGCAGAATTATTGCAGCTAACGTTTTAATCAAAACTTGAAACTGCTTTGTCGGTTACAATTTTGTTACAAACTACAATAGTTACAATAGTTGCAATTCGCACAGTTCAAACTTTGCAAGGTTTAACACGAAATATCCATCACTTCACCTCCACTCTTCATTGCAACTACTTCAATTTCACATTGAGAATGAGTAGCTTTTTACATGTTCACGGTTAGTAGAGTGGAGAGAACGATACTCCCCCGAGGGTAGGTAATAGATCCAGGTATGTCATCTAGAGCGGGGCTTGATCCCTGGAGCAGCGGGTAATTAGCCTAACGATGGAGGAAATAACAGCAGTCTGTACCATTTAGTATTACTCAACCCATCACTAGTACAGCTCGTACCTACTAGTTACTAGTACAGCCCTCCGCACTTGTGCAGTACTGACATCCACCTCTCTGGTACTGTGTGACACATTGACACGGTGCGGTGGTTTTAGTTTTACAGGGCCGGTTACACGAGGATTAGTAGCGGGGTTAGTTAAGTGTCTTTTTGATTTTTCTAACTTAATTGTAATAAACCAGTTGAAGTTAAAGAGTTGAAGTTAAGTAGTTGAAGTTGTTAAATACCTGAAGTTAAATAGCTTTATAATAGTATGTAGTGGAAGCTAACTTAGTCATACGCTACGTGTAGCTGTGAGCGTAACTACTATAATGATCTACATAATGCACTGCATATTTATTATTTACCAATACTTAAAATACTGAACTAGAGTGAAACACGGAGAAGGTGCTCAGTTTTCTCCATCAGTAGACTTTTAAGATTGCTCAACTCTTAACACAATCTGGCCAGGTTTGATTAAAGAAGGAACACGGTTTAACACAATATAGCTTTAGTGTGTGTCACGTGACTCGGTTCTTGGATCTGATTGGCTGGTCTAGCTGGCTGTCGAGGTGTGATTCGCGGGAGGGGAGGTCCCGTGATTGGGCACAATGGCTAGCAGCTGGTCAGATTGAGTTAGCAGTTCACAGAACTGGAAGAGAGGGGGGTTGTGTCTTGTTAGCCCTTATAAGGGAGTCAGCCTGTGGGGTGGGGGAATAGCGACGTCATCAGAGATAATGGGGTGGGATAGTGACATATATTCGGGTATCACTATGAGCGGGATCAGCTTAGAACCAGCGAGGGGGTTATGAATTATGATAACGTCTTTAAATAGAAGGGCCTCTAAGATTCTTCACCTTAGATTCCAAACTCTTCTGTAGCTATATAAGGACACGAAATTGCTTGGAGGATTCGTAGGTAATGGAGGTGAAGTTGAGCACAAAGAGCTGTCTGTACCAGTTCCAAGAGGGAGCGATTTGTTAGAAAATTAATAATTTTATGGCTATTTTTAGAAAGTATGATTGGATCGCAAATTGCGTTTTGGATTTATTCAACTTTCGTGGAAGTTGTAAGATAGTTAAACACGTCTTATAGTGGTAGTAATTATCAAGTCATGCTGTGGTTAAATCTTAGTCATAGCTTTATGATAACAGCACTATATTGTTACTTAAGAGAACTGGTTTTACACGAGAAATTGAACTTTCAAGATTGTTTAACATATTATGAGTAATACCTTTACGTAAGACCTTGGTAAACCCTCCATCCACAGTGCGGGATCACACATGACACTCACCGTGTAGTCTAATCTTTAAGAGACGCACTCCACAAATGTACCTTAATTATCAGGCACAACCACAGCAATCTTAATAGATTATTCTCGAATTTCATCTGATTTTAAGTTCCGGATTGCCTCCGAGCGGTGGTAGCTGACAAGAAGGGCTCGATATGTTGCTTATCTTCATCATAATCAGTTATTTACCCAGGAGGAGGGAGGGACCCCCGCCTAAAGACATACGGCCACCTTGTGCGCTGTAAAAATATTGTAGGGGTTCTAGAAACACCGATGCTGGATTACTGGAAAAATGTGGGCTGGAAATTTCAATAATCATCTGATAATCTGCGGTTAAAACTTTAACGGTATGGAAAGTTATTCATCCTTCCGTTTTGGGTTCAGGTTTTAATACCGACTAAAGAACTTTACAATTACATAGTATGTTTCAATTATCTAACGATTTAAAAATAGAAACATGAGTTGAACAGATAAGATTTGGCAACCTTTCAAATCTTATATTTTTAGGGACCTTAATATATTTACGACACTCCACGTAGATTTCCGACACGTAGATTTCGGGCACGTAGATTTCGGACACGTAGATTTCGAACACACAACCTTGCACAAACATGGTCCTCCACAACTACTATACATGCGGAATCTTGTGTCGGGTTTTACCCGAGCACGCATCCATGAAACATGCATGGAAGTTGGCAAGGTGTCCAGAGTGACCTGAGAGTTTATTGTACAGTGTGTACAATAGAGGGTATACTCGAACTTAAGGTGCTTATTAGGCCTGAAAGTAATGTCTTACTTCACTACACTTATAATTAACTGATGTTTCGCGAGCCGGCAACATGCGCTGCTGATAATTGTATGTGACCTACCTGGTTATGCGTACTGTATACACATTGTTATCATTCCTGAATCAAATACTCATGTCCCTGAATAAAATGCATACATTTTTTGAAAAAACATGCACACAATTCCGGTCAAATCGAGATAAGATACTCGTGCCGTGCTAATGTGTTAGCATTGGGAGATGATTTTACGTATTTATCACACCTCAGATCTAATCATAACCTTAATATTCGCCCCTTGTATGCCCCAGATTTATTGTATGATCGGTATTTCATCAAATTACCGGCAAAGTTGCACAGCCTACTGCACCACATAATTTAATTTCCAGAACACTCACGTCTCTTCATTGCCACATCCGCAAATTTGTTATCTAATATCTTACTTCTTACGAAAATCTGCTGGACAAACTCGGCTGTACTGGCCACCACCGCTAAAACTAAAAGTTAGGGTAATCAGCCCCCTGAAGTATCCTAGAAGTTAACTAATAAATGTTTCAGTACGGCTAGTCACGCAGAGGATGAAAGTGTGGTGAGGCTGAGAGGACTGCCCTACCAGGCCTCCGATCACGAGGTTGCCAGGTTCTTCAGAGGTCTCAACATCGTCAGGTACGTGCTTTTCTTATCAGGTGTCAATGGGATTAGCTTTCAGTTACGTCATACGTGATTCACTTGATTCTAGGGTCTGACGTACAAAGGTTAATAATGTATTGTGTAATAATAATGGGGCTTATTTGTTTATCTTGTTACGTACTCTGACCCTCACAAACATGAACATTTAGAATAAGCTGGAATAATCTGTAGACCTGCCCTGACACGCTAATGCAGCTCAATTAACAATCCCTCTGCAGGATTATGCTGCCTAAATGCACATAAATGCAACCAAACCCTGCACAATGGCACTAAGTTGCAAGTATTAGCGGAATCCTGGATCCAACTCGTAACTATAACTCGTGAAAGAGGTAGAACCCCCACTAGTGAAAGAGGTGGCACCCCACATTGCGTATTTTATAAATAGCTATTGCAGCATCGCACCATATATTGTCGGGACCTGCACAAACTGGGGTATCACTTATAATAATGTGTGAGAAGGATCAGAGAGCTTGCTCTAAATCAGCCTCTGAACCAATTCTGAACCAGCAATTCTGAACCAGCAACTCTGAAGCTGGGTTGTTAAGCTTTTTGACCTGTCTGGCTGCATATGTCATAAGCTTCAAATGTTATGCAATAGCTCTGAGATTCTGCTCATTCTCAAGCTAGATTCTATAGGTTGTGCAACAGATTTACACGACACGTTGAGGATCTGCGCTCGGGTATTCTGAAAGTGAGTCTAAGAGTCTACCCCTTCCTCTACTTGTGTGTGGAGGGAGTGTGGTGTACCCCCTTCCTCTAATTGTGTGGGGAGGGAGTGTGGTGTACCCCTTCCTCTACTTGTGTGGGGAGGGAGTGTGGTGTACCCCCTTCCTCTAATTGTGTGGGGAGGGAGTGTGGTGTACCCCTTCCTCTACTTGTGTGGGGAGGGAGTGTAGTGTACCCCTTCCTCTACTTGTGTGGGGAGGGAGTGTGGTGTACCCCTTCCTCTACTTGTATGGGGAGGGAGTGTGGTGTACCCCTTCCTCTACTTGTGTGTGGAGGGAGTGTGGTGTACCCCCTCCCCTTCAGTGTTGTGTTACCACAGTACCACACCCTCAGTCCATTGTCTTTCTGTGTACATCAGTCCCCAATCCTATATACACATATGATGATGTCTATCTTCCACTGCACAAGATTCCATGTTGGTACTGATTATTGATGGTGTATTGAGAGAACACGTCATATTGCCGGCCCAACCACTGGGGATTATATCAGCCTCCCTCTACAGTGTAACATTGTACCAGTCACCTCTGTGTGTGGACTGGTAACGCACTCTCCTCTTCACGGCTGGAAACACACCTCCCCTCGCTTTAACTCTCAAGAATTTGAGGATCGTCCTCGTGAAAATATGCGCATAAAATGCCCGAATAATATTACGGTGGTGATAAATCAGCATATTTTGTAGTTATCTGATCACAGAGAGTCTGCAGCGTAGACTTGACAGCTCATTTGACAGCCTGCTGAGTCATCCTTTGCCATTCTGTCCCTTTACTAGCTTGCACATAATTGCCCTATATTATTGTCAGGATTATTAGACGATTATAGTCGATATATATGACAATCTAATATCAAACCGGTTGCATTGTTATCGCCCCACCATCTCGCCACATAAAGAGATCATTTTTGTATGTCCAATCGGCAGAGCGGTCAATTAGAAAGTGTTATTAAAGTTTGATAAGCGTATCACGTGACGTATTATCAGTGCTCCTGCCTCCTAATCATAATTCGATATTGTGATCCTGCACCGTATACCTGGCCCAGGCTAAGCGACTACTGGCACAACTGTGTACTGGTTAGTGGTTACATGTGTGAACAGTGAACACAGTTGGTGGACTAGCCCTGGTTCTAAAAATCATATTAAAAGTCCACGCGAAATAAGGTCTGCACAAATATAAGGTGTGCACAGGTTTTGCATTTACAGATATTATGATATCTGATAGCGTTCGTTTATTTTTCTCTAGAAGACTAAAAAATGAAAATATCCGTTAGGAAAAACTACTTTTGCTTCAAAATAGTTCTGATAGACGCATACATATTCAGTTTGCTTTTACACATAAATAAATGTCGCCTGAGGTATTACAAGTGCGCTCTTTGCAAGTCACAGACAACCGCACAGCTCTATCTGATTGTGATAGGGTAACTTGTAAACTTGTAAAATGTGTCTTATGGCTGCTTCTCAGTAACTACTTCCCCGCTCACCTCTATAACTTCCTCAGAGGTGGTGTGGTGTTGTGTCTCAACCCTCAGAACAGGCGTAATGGACTAGCCTACGTACGGTTCGTGTCTCAAGAACACAGAGACATGGCCCTTCAGAGACACCGACATCATCTGGGAAACAGATACATCGAGGTAAGAAAAATAACGATTTAGCAAATAGATTATTATTACATGAAACATTAATCAAACTCTCTTGGAGAATTCGATTGCAGTAAAACTGCCAGATAACTAGTGATGTTTAATTACTTCTGAAGTCGGGGTAGTGAGCACACATAAGTGCTTTATCACCAGTGCTGAAGTATAACTAAGGAGCAATGAGCATATATGATATGAGTACTTACAAAATAATTTAGCACCGTCCACTACGTTTACTTGTGGTTGGTTATGAACATTCAATATGGATAAGATACTCTGAGAGAGGCCAACAATGAAGAAATGATTAGCTTAAGATATTTGTTATAAGATTTCCATCTATTGGAAATCGTATAAGAAGAGTCAAGAGCCACTTTAATACCTGGAAATTGCAATTCTTATACCATTAAGTGTCGTTTTGAGTGGTTTTTGATATCCATATTCAAATAAAGTTCTGAAATAAGGTAACTCTGGCACGTGGCCGACAGTAAGTTGCTACATACCTCACAGTGAGCCGGCTCACATTGAGGTATGTTGCTCACTGGTATCGGTATCAGAACCCTGCTGTCATTGACATGCTTATCCCGGTTTAAAAGCGCCCAACTCCAACTACCTCCATCCTTCACGGCAACAAGTGTTGATGTTTCAATCTATCGAAAAGTTCCAGTCTATCAGGCCACGTTTTGGGAGCTAAACCCCTACTTGGGGCGGGTTTAACAGTGGACCGGTAGAACATATGTACAAAGAGGGTAGGTCCCCAACACTTTCTAACACCCCGCTCCCCACCCCCACCCTGCCTGGCCATGTAACCCTGTACTACTACTATTACCTCACAACAATCAGATATCTGGTTCCTAACAAACACTTCACAATTAAAATTTTACTTTCGTACGTACTACGAGCCTAGGAGGTTGGGTTGTAGGGCATCCCCTCTCCACAAGCACGCGACTTCTGGCATCTCATCGAAACCTTTGTCCGAGTTCGTCTTTCTATTTACTAGGTTTTCACAGTTATTTATAGAGCCTATATGGAGCTGCGGGTTCTGGGATTATATCAACCTCGAGTGCAATAGAATCCGCTGTCAGAAATAAATCTCTTGAAGGAATTCATATACAGACATTTTTATTTCAGATCTTTGAAATAATTAGCTGGCAATTTGACAGCAATTTGACGGCTTTCAAGTACTTTTGTGAAGAAGTAAGAATTAGGATGTATGGTTTCAGTTTCAGTACCTGTAATACTTCCAAGTTTAGCAGCGAGTTCATATCTCTCATTGTAATTTGTTAGAAGTAACAATACGAAACCATTGCGTGTGTACAGTGTACACCAGATTGCGAACTTGCAACGCAGTGTTGCAGCCTGCAATAATTGACGAAAATTAGTTACCGAATTGTAAAATAGAACGCCTTATAATTGCTAAACCGAGAGAAATGTTACATAATATCATATCGTGCGTGATGTTAAAATTTGGTCCGCCTTTTAAACCCCACAAGATACCTCATACCGTAGTCAGTAAACTTGCCCTGGCTGAAACCCTACCAACATTTTCAAAGTCCCGGGGCTCGTACTTTACACTCGTCATCATTATCGCCGTGTACAATTAGAGGTGAATTTTTCGGAATCCACATAATTAGAGACCGTATTTAAACTAGAAGTGACATTTACCACTCGGGTCTGAATATTTTATGTGGCGATATTGACCCCGACATATCACTTGCAATTCAAATTGGCAACTGTCCTAAATTGTAGGGTGTGCGAAGGACGATAATTCACGATCGGAGGCATTGTTCATGAATCCTGGCAATTCAGGGTTTGTTACCATGATTATCAGGTGAGATAACTGGTCATGGTTCCCTGCGATTCGGTTAATACTAGGCCGGTTTTTTTCGCACAGTTGTTATACACTAAACCTCTCTCAGTAAATTAGGGTAACTTTGTTCCCGAACATTCTTTGACGTGGCAAACACACGTGTGTTACCTGAATGCCGCTTCATGCTACTTAACCTTGTATCTCGATATTATCAAGACCTTTCTTATCTAAACAGGATGTAGCATTAGCATGGCTTGCTCACTACTACCAAATTAAAAACTCGATACAAGGAAACGATTCTTCTTATCTTTAATCCTGCTAAATCTAATAATAACCCCTTTTCCGGTTGGGACCACAAACTGTATTCGCTCCCGGATATTATGTGTTTCACTTTCGTGGTTGATTAGTTGGACTTTACAAAGCAGACACGGTTGAAGTTGATAAATTTGCACTTAGCAGTGCTCCTTGACCCCCCTCTGAAAATATTATAATATTCGAAGATTCCTGTAATTATATAAATTATCCCAGTACATACTTATATGTAAAACTCACCCCCGAGAGGTAGTCCGGAAAAGATAATATTCAGAATTTCTGACCACCAAATTAATGTGTAACGAGTGTAGAATGTAGACTGTAAATTTGTTTATTATCCCGGCATGTCCCCTGATTCTTGGTGTAAACGTAGTTTTGGTGCATTGTGCAAGCTGATCTATTGCAATTTGAGACGGTGACTTATCACTTGAGTTGAGGATAAAGCACTACTGATTGTTTATCTAATCGGGGGATATATTATATAGACTTGGCAACTTAACTCTGTTAATTATCCCCTTGGTCAGCCATCTTTTAAAGATCTCAATCCTCATGAATTTAGATGCGTTTGAAACGTACAATGATTCCGGGGCAGTTTCCGGAGGGGCTTATATGAGAGGCTCTCTTTATCACAGAGGTTTACAAAGGCGACACATCCTGGAAATGCTTTAGAATGTACCAGACTTCAAATCGTATAAGAGCAGGTGCTAGCAGTTAAGTATCCACTCACTTAGGAGTAAGTCTTCAGAATCCAGTTGCATTCTGTTATAATAGCGACTCCTATTTTCAACTAGGTATTCTTTAGAACAGGCATACAAGATGGCAGCAAACATTTTTCAAATGTGGATTGTGTGTCTGACAGAATATCGTATGGCTTGCCTTGCTCAGCGCCCCGTTGCTTTCCTCGGGCACTTTTTTTTAGCAGAACAGAGTGTTTAAATTAAGCTTTATGCTTGACAACTAGGTAGTTCGAAAGATGTTCAGTTCTGAGGAATAAGCTCTAACACTATACGCGAGAATACTGTAGCCTACTGGAATTCTACGTAACATCAGGCCGGTATTTAATTTCAAAGTGTAGTGGGTACTGGGTATGCCTACTTCTTTTGAGAACTAGAAAGTAGTTAAACAGGGAAATATTGGATATTATCCCCTTCACTTTTAGAGAGTTTAAAGGTTAAGGTAGTGCTCTAGAGGGTAATTTAAGTTTAAACAACGGTTTAACATCTCCTTAAATTACCACACTTTGAAGAACCGGCCGAGCGAACAATTCAACTCTCAAGCTCATGTGATATTTTCCAACTCTATCATTAGTTCTTTTCTATAGCAGGTGCAAGATGTGCTAGGTAGTTGTACCCTCAGTTGAATAGCCATTAGTTCGTGACTATGACATCACGTGAGTGACGTCACGTGCATTATGTCACGTGTATGACGTCACGTGTCCCCGGATTGATGACGTCACTCCGTGCCTTATTCAAACAGTTATCAGAAATAGAGCTCACAATGAGGGTTTTGTCCAGTGGTTGTGCAGGATAAGTATTAGTACGAGGCCAATGATTGGAAGTGTGGTGTAAGTATGGTATAAGGTGACTTTGGAGGCCATTGTGTGTTTTCCAGGAGCTTTAATTCGCATTAACCAGTCCTAATTATTGTACACAGTACAAAGAGTGGTATGTACGAGACCTCTACTGCATACCATGCTCAGTAACCATTAGAGACCTCCAAGTTAAGTTACTTAAAAGAACTTCTGGAAATGGTGCACTGTTCTTGATAAACCAGCACTCTGATGATATCTAGATATTGTTACTCTGTACCACCTTAACCATCACTTAAACCTTAGAACACATCTTGAACCATACCAAGCTAAATGTTTCCATCTACCTGAGTTTCAGGTGGAACTGTTAAGTGGTTTACAAATAATAACGGAGACGAGTAGTAATCGCCGTAAGAAGCCAGCGATATCACCACATCTCCTGGTATTCCAACCAACCCATGGTTTGAACGACCATCAGTTCCACGACAGGACCGGAACTAAAAGATCCTATCAGTAAAGCCCTAGTTGAGCCCTGTTAATGGAGTGTCACTCGGGTAGAGTGATCTGGGGAAATTAGCACCGAGTGCGAAGTTAAAACAAAGTCAGAACTTTATAAAATGATTACAGAGCTATCAGTCCAACTGTTCACACCTAGCTTTTATACCGCTCTTATTCTCAATCCAGCTTTTAAACTAGTGTCCATGTTCATTTGAATTACAATAACTGAAAATTTGGAAATATATTGACTCTGCACTGAGTGGTTCAAGATGAAAATTTGCTATCCAGGCTTTTATCGGCGTTACTTCGTGCAAATAAGAAAAATAAATACCGAACCTGGAACGTCGCGTACATTATACTGTTCGCTATCGTCAGCAAACTGAACTGTCCACTCTATCCAAATTAGTCATTTGACGTCAATTTTCTAGCAGAACTCACAATCTTTGGCCTTTGTTTGACCCACGATGTAACTCATTTTCAGCAAGTAAGTTATATTTAGTACACTGGGTAATCACTGTCTCTGATATGGCGAACCCTTACGATTGGACACAATTCAGGAGACTGTTAGCACACTCTTTTAGAGCAGGCTGAAGTTCAATAAACGGGTGATTGTCACCTCCACTAGCTATAAGTACTAAGTAGTGGTGTCATTATGTCGTCTAGCTGTGAGACACTGAGACACTGCTGATATGTGTGCTCACTGCTGAGACACTGCTGATATGTGTGCTCACTGCTCTCAGCACCAGCTCTAGACTTCACTGTAGACTCCAGACTCAACTCTCCAGACTATTGACTCTCTCATTCTTTGTTATTCTAAACCACTCCCCAGGCCCCTAACATTGCTTCCGTTGAATCTTGAAGTGCACCACTATCAAAACACACTCTTAACAATAACATTATATACTGATCGTTTAGCTAATAATTTCCTTGTAATTTCAGGTGTTTACAGCCACAGTACAAGAGTTCATGTCCCACGCAAATACAGCTCTTATTAACTACTACAACTCCATCGTACCTAATGGAGCTGACTACATACTCAGGGTCCGGGGTCTCTCCCACGACAAGGATTTCAGCGAGAAGGATGTGGTAAGTTCGTCTGTCTGTTTATATGTTCGTCTGTCTGTGAGTAGTACACCCTTGTCCCTTATTAATGTGAAACTATACGGGTGGGAGTACGTGGAAACTTTCTCTTGATCTAGAAGTTAACAACCCAGTAAACTGAGAGTTTGAAGAATGTGTTCAGTAAAGTCACGGTCACGTGATGTGTAAACGATGTGATTATATCAGAAGTTTACCAAACAGTATAGGGGTCCCAATAATAACAATACTGGGCTTATAACAACAATACAGGGTCCCTCATAAGAGGGTGTGGTGATTCAGTCCATTTTACAAGTTCAAATAAAAGAACCTGCTGCTTGATGCTATTTTGGGAAATATTTAAGCAGCTATCTTCAATGATTATAATATGATATACCTTAATATAGGTAAAATACCTTGATATAGATTGCCTCTAATAGATACTTAAATAATACTGGCCTCATTGTGACCATAAAAGGTAAATAATACTAAAACATCCAATTATCATAATCAGCTTTGAGCAGAAGTCTCAAAAGAATAAAAGAGTCATTTAGCGAATTATTGGGATACCTATGATAATCGTTCAACCGTTGCTCTTAAATAATACTCAAACTGTAACAGTTTTACAATAGTCACTGCTTTTATAATTCTATAATTCCCCGTAGTTTATTCGGTCAAAATATATATATAGTGGTGTCACTGGTGTCAGAGTGTCAGCAAGGCTGTTATCCAAGGTATGAAACCGTAACTGTATCAACGCCAAGGTTTGTCTAGGGCTTGGATTGAGAACTTTATTTAAGGTATCATTGTGTGAGGTGTGGAATGTTTTCAATAGTGTTAATTGCTCTGCCGGAAACCGAAACGTAGTGTCGCTCAACTTTCTCCTCTCCAGCTAAAATTCCTTTAAGTCCGTACCTTTTTTCTGAGGAAAAGTTAAAAAACAAGAGTGATGAGTCTTGTACAGATATCAAATAAAAATATTCCAAATCGTTTTCGTTCTGTAAGTGTAGACAAAACTTTAGTGTGTTTATTTCAAAAGTGTATATTTTGATAGAGAACTAAATGTTAGAACATGAGGAGCAAAATATACTCCTAACAAGCGTGTCATTTCTCAACATTCTCCTCACCAGTATTCTATACACCATGTACATTGTACAGTGTATAGTTTCCTGTCTGAAGAAACACACATCATCGGTTATAATGCCCCGTGATTTTATCATCCTGGCAGCCATATTAGTCGCAACTTATCAGCTTGATAAGAAATGAGGACACCTCAAAAAACACAGAAGACACCCGGGAACTAAACGTGTGCCGTGAATGTGAGACGGATTTTGACATCTCCGTGAATATTGAGATATAATATTCTCAAAACATAACCCTAGTCACTTAACACATCACGTGGTATTAAGTGAGGGAGGATACAGGACCACGTGAGGAGGCAGAGAGAGAGAGAGAGAGAGGGACCGAGGTGTGTGTAGCTACCCATGAAGGTATTCCAACATAGGAAATGGGTACACAGTCCAGTCCTTGCAACCATCCTGTGAGACCCACGTACACTACAACCATGTACCCCCTTTCCTGCTAAATCTATACACTCCATGTACGCCCCAGCAGCAAGTGTATATCTCATGTTTAGACTGGGACCTGTCTCAATATAATGTTGACATGGTGTTACAAAAGCCTCTTTTCAATCTGATTTAACTTGTAAATACTGTTCCGGCGGAGGAGATGTCTGCTGCCAGGGAACTGTTTGACCGGCTGTTCTTCTGTAGGGGTCAAATTAATAGTCCTGTGTAGGCGCTTTATTCTTCAATCTGGAGCTCTGATATGAATCAAAACACAGAGCAGTTTTACATTTTGCAACTTAACTACTATTTTCATAAGTCTACTCCTGGGAGACTGACGTCCAGATGACCGTTTTACTTTCTCAAAATGACAAAATTTGCGCTCGGTTCTTGTGAACGCGTCTGAAAATCCACAGAATTTTTTATGGTAATTTGAGGAGGTTTACTGTTCTAGCGTTCTGCAAGGAAGTTAGCAGAATGGAAGTGAAGTGTACTAGCTCCATGTTGGTCCCGGCAAGTAGTTCGGATCCAGACAATATTCCGTGTAGTACTGAGTAATGAGCAGTAAAGAGAGGAGCTGGCTGCAGAGTGCAGATTACTAATTCTAACTCTAAATCTTATTGAGCTCTTAACTCTCAGATCCTTGCTTTCAAAAGAGGTTTCCTCAGTTAACTCTCCGTGGTAGTTTCGTAGCTGCACGTGGTAACGTTTTAGCTATTTGATGGATTCTCAAATTTGTGTGTAAATGTCGGCTTTTACCCAAAGATAATGTAAACTCGCAGAACAATACATATTAGATAGATACACTGGGTGATACACCACCCACCGCTCCAAAATGGTGCGTACGTGGAGATATTGTTTGGCAGCCCTCATTGGACTAAGGCTGCTTTGTTAAACAATTTTAGTGGGCCTCTTGTTTAAGTAAATTTACAGTAATTCAATCTAGTAGAAAACCTAAAATTATGGCGTGGATCATAAGTGTAGAAAGTAGACCCCGCTGAGTCTCAGCATATTGCACGGAGGACTAGCCCAAGGCTAGCAGAATGCACGCAGAATGCACGCAGAGAGTTCTAGCAGAATGCACGCAAAGAGTTAGTAGAGCGCGGCTAGTTGTACGGCGGGATAACTCTGAGCCACGAGGAGTAAACACAATCAATGTATTGTATACGCCATTGTGCTCCTAGTTTCTACTCGTAAACTGTATTGTATATCATTATTTGTACTGCACATTGTGCTACGGTGCAGAGAGAAATCTCATAGAGCAGATAACACGCTCAGACGTGTGGTATTGTGTGGTACTGAGATAGAACACACTCCTAGACGTGTGGTATTGTGTGGTACTGAGATAGAACACACTCCTATACGTGTGGTATTGTGTGGTACTGAGATAGAACACACTCCTAGACGTGTGGTTTTGTGTGGTACTGAGATAGAACACACTCCTAGACGTGTGGTATTGTGTGGTAGTGAGATAGAACACACTCCTAGACGTGTGGTTTTGTGTGGTACTGAGATAGAACACACTCCTAGACGTGTGGTTTTGTGTGGTAGTGAGATAGAACACACTCCTAGACGTGTGGTTTTGTGTGGTACTGAGATAGAACACACGTCAAAAGATTATCTTCATAAAGATGTCAGGTTCACTATTTAGTCGGCACACTCCTTACTGGAAGATAACAAATACTCCATGTCAAATCAACAATCTACTGATGGTTTTATCTCACGATCATTATAATACTATAATACCTCCGCCACTGAGTGCTGCGCGCTATAATTCCCGACAGCTTGCTGGAGGGAATTTGCGGGCACGAAGTTGCGGAGGTATTATATTTTATAATATTTTCCGGTTCCGAATTGGAAGGGGTGTAATCCGATACGTGCGCATGATACAATATAGTGTCTAATATATAGAACGCCAGTGTTATTTGTTTTACAACTTGCCGCCAGCCAGTCTGAGGTCTATGCTGATAATACCTTGGCTTCCCTTGCGGGATATATCGGCAAATTATCAGCTCTCAGTGTCGGAGACTTTTAGTGGATATAATTCCCGGAAGGTATTATAACAACCTCCCTACTAAAAGAAATAGATAATTTTTCACAAAATCATAAAATACAATATAATGCTTGTACTGTACAGGGTGGGCGGTCTAGAATTAACTTTACCCGTGATTTGTAAAGGATCAGTCTGGAAGTCGAGTTATCTCTGTCCCAGCTTTTGCACTTTTAGAAGCATTTTCTGACATTTTCTCATCTATTATTCACAAGACTGTCTGTACTTTGTTTGAAAATGTATCAAACGACTGACAGGTGTTTGTACAGTATACATGTTACATATTTTGGGTATATCCTCAAACAGACCCAATTCCCATCAGTGTCTATCAGTTGCCACCTGAACTAGACAGGGTTTATTGAAAACAATCAATGATATCGTCTGTAGTGTAACGTCTACACTCGTGACCAAAAAGGCGAGCCAAACTGTAATATACAGTAGTGTATATGAGTTGTGCCGCTACCTTTTTGTTTTCGGCCCACAAATCTCACATACAGAATATAATTCAGGTCCGCCCTGACCTGCCAGCTCTCTCCCCATCTGTCTCTCTCTCTCTCTTTCTCTCTCTCTCTCTCTCTCTCTCTCTCTCTCTCTCTCTCTCTCTCTCTCTCTCTCTCTCTCTCTCTCTCTCTCTCTCTCTCTCTCTCTCTCTCTCTCTCTCTCTCTCTCTCTCTCTCTCTCTCTCTCTCTCTCTCACTTTACCATAGGATGTATGAGACATCATAACAATACCACCCTGTTTTCACATTAACCTCTTGTTTTCCTGCTTCTAAACAGTAACCCTCCTTGGATCGCACATTCAACACAATGCACGACCCCTCACCCCAGGTTCCATGTTTAGATTTTACTGAGCTAACAATGATATATTGTGTTGGGAGATGAACTATAGGAACCATAACTAGCAGGGTGGTTAATGGTTACTGGTCTTTGGACACTGTTCTACAGGAACATCAGGGCACTTATTGGGGTCCCTGGTGTAGGGACATTTCCTCGCTCCACTGAACAAGGGTAATGAAGGGTACCCAATACAAGGGTAAATGGTAATGTGGCTGAAAGTGACGTTTTTGTGGAGAACTTAAACAGTAGCTATCTCTATTGTTACAATTGTTTTCGGAAGCTGGTATATTGACAGTATTGGTTGAGAAGTGGGTAAAGTTTTATGGAAATGTATTAAGAGATAAGCCTAACTTGTCGTTAACTTGAACTAAGTTCAAGTTAACGATTTATAGAACCTGACTTAGCATAGGAATCCTATAGAAACAATCCCACTCCTGTTTACACCTATCCTCATTCTTATGCTTCTACAACTTACTTCTCCTCTATCACAACATTCTTAACCATCTTCTGAAGTACATACTGACTCCTCCTGTAAATTTATAAGTCTGTAAATTTATAAATCTATGATACCGTTAAGTGTTGTTACTGCGATCTTAATGGAAGCCCAATTCAGGTCGCCAACACAAAATGAAACCGTAAAAATGTTCGACCGCGTCCACTATTCCACCAACAGTGTTATTGTAACGCTACTCGATAGTGAGCGTGAGCTTCGCGTGACACAACACCTCACCACGTGACACATCACGTGACCGCCAGTTAGGGTCTTAACAAACATCCTGCTTTCTGCCGAAGTGCAATGGCTAAATTCCTGGTCTGACTGAAAGCCGAGTCTCATTTTCACCTACTAGAAGTAGAAGGTCGCGCCACATTTCATCAATCAACAGTGACTTGCCCAACAAAATGCACTAGTTCAAGGATTTAATACCCTGGCATTTTGCACATAACATAACTGTTGTAGCTAGGCACATGCTGCTCACGCATAACTTAACTATATAGCACTATTTAGTTATTTATTCTACGGAACTGTCGGTTTTTTTACAGTGATTTATGCAATGTTTCCAACGTCAAGGTTTTTATCAACGTGATTAATAATTGTTGACAAAACAGTACAAATATTAATGCTACAAAATGTTCACTGACACCATTTGTCAACAGATAAGCCCAGACACGATTTTTAGACATCACGAGGATCACAAACAATCTTTACATTATTACGAATTAATTTGTAAGTTTAGAGGGACGTATGATGAATTGTGCGTACTAACACCTTTCTAGTGGTCAAAAAAGCTATTAGAAAGAGTTCAAAGAAACTTATTTCTTTGAAAATGTTTACGATTATAGTCTGCATTGTCACATTGCAGAGGCATCTAAACTAAAGTTCCTCCTGAGGTCCAATGCGGTGGGGAGGCGATGGGGTCCACACATCTCTACAACATATAGAGTGCTGCGGCCCGCCTTTTTGTCTAGTGCTCATTGAAAATGCAGTATTAGCGACGACTTCATCATGCATTATATGGGAATAAGTCTCTATCAAGGATTTAACCTTATGTCTTATGCCATGATGAGAAAATTCTAATTAATTATCTAATGGAACATGTTATTTCAGGTAATGCTGGTTGGAGAGGACAAGACGAACGAAGAAAATGTCCTTATTCTCCGCCACGTAGACGGAGCATGCACGGGAGAAGCGTTCCTCTTTTTCTACCAGTCAGTATATTATTATTATTATTATTTACATTACACTTTCTACACTTTCTACACATATTTTATACGTCTTGTTTTGTACCTACTACATATGTTATGCTGACATTATTCTACTCGACTTTCGACTTTTAACACGGAGTTACGAGATTTAACTGCAGCTGACGCAAGGTAGTTGCTAAGTGTGTATGTGCTCAGTTTTCTATCTGGTATCACACGTGTGTGTAAGGTGAAGGTGAAATGGCTTGTAGCTGGACGGATCGACACCACATTCCATAACTATCCTGTTTGTTAGGTAGTTGTTGTAGTAGTAGTAGGTCCGCACGTTTTCTCACTCCAGCTTCTGCTCGTGAAGAACATGTCCGTTCTTGTTGGTCCCAGAGTCGAGGCTGCTCTCTGTGTGATCTGTCAAATGTCGCAGTTGCCGATTTACATCCGGGAATGCAAGTGGAGTGACTATGGATATTCACTTTGTTTCTTTCTGTACAGTTCCTCACAAGGCTTTAAACAGATTGGCTGATTATGACAATGACAAATAACTTAAACTCAAAATCGTTTATACTAGTGCAAATTTAAGTTAACCACATACGTTTAAAAGTAAAGGAAGTTAAAAGGTTGAGTGCGGCTGTATCTAATGTATAACGTTACCAAGAGGCAGAGATTTAAAGACATACATTTTAGTATACTGCATTTTATCTGCAATCAAACTCTTTTTGGGCTAATTCAATCCTTCAAGGGCTCATTTGAGAACATTATAAAGTGGCACGAAGTGACTGTGCATACAATATTTGAATGAGAATAACTACTATACACATTACACATTACACAATCTCTGGTATTGTAATTTGTATCTTGTTAGAGTACCCCTTCATTGGAGAGAGCATCTTAAATTAATACAAAACTTAGATTTGATAGCTATTACAAGATTAGCCAAATTAAATCAATACCTTGGCTAAATCACAACTTAGCAGTAAATCTAATAGCGAATTTATCGGGCGAATTATAAAGACAAATAAAAGCAACTTTAATCCTTCTTATTGGTTGAGAGATTAACAGTCCACACAAGTTGAGATAATGATATCTGAGGGACTTAATGAAACATTGATAATCCAATAAAGCTTTACTGTAATTTGATAAGAGTATCTAATTATAAGCCTGTAAGTGACACGCACCTGTACACACGTACTTGGTTATTTATCCAGCTGTTTATTGATATATTTTTAACAATAGCTGATATTAATATAATAGCTGATATTTGAAACAGAGACACCTCAAAAAAGTGCCTTTCCGTCCTTCCTTGGTTTGTTAAATTCGTCCCATTTCTTACAATCGGTCCACACTCCACGTACATATCCACATTATTTGTTAATTCAATAGAATAAACTCCTGTACTGGTATATATTCCTAAATGTTCAGACTCTGTTAAAAACATCCTGATCGCCCACCTTGATTTAATCAAACCTACTTAGACTTACACCTACGTGTCTTTTCTCAATTCACCATAATTATGTTTAAATATGAGCCATCATTGTAACACAGCCTCTAACTTTCTCTCATTACAGTGAAGAAGAAGCCAGCTCTCTGGCCGGCAACGCTCTCTCAGCCGACAGGAAGGTTCAAGTACAGTGGAGTAGCCGGAGTGAAATCCAACAAGCTCTTACTAACCTGGGATACTTGTCCCCCTCCGTTACTCCTGTAGCTCCCCTCAACCAGTCCCTCTCAGCGCTGTCACTAAGGTGAGCCCCCCCCCCCCCCCCCCCCCCCCCCCCCCCCCATCACACAGCACCAGTCTAACACAAACCCGGGTCTTTTGTCTGGACGATACCCTCAACCACAATTACAAGACTTTGTCTTTTAGTAATGTTGTTCTATTCACATTGGGCAGAATTCAGAATTGTTCAATATTGATCCCTAGTTTATGTGTCGCTATTACACGTGTCAATATGGAGCGGAGTACGGGTCCTGCCCCTTTCTCTTCTTCTCGAGTGTTCTAGGGTTCCTGCTGACTGGGTATCATTACTACCTGTCACCATATCGACGATAATTATATGAAACACTCCGTACGATCCTTCGTGATCTTGGTTTCTGCATTTTTGAAGGGCTAAACCACAGTAAATTTAACACGATGACAGTCGTCTGCGTGGAACGCGCGAACGTCCTTGGACTTTGGTAGCAAAGCGAGAAATCATTTACTGCGTCAAGAAATTAAGTCGCGTAGAGCCGCGCACCACGTCGTCATTCGTGACATTTTTATAATTTTACAATGAACAAAATTTTAAGCCTTTTATTTCAAGATCTGCAGATTCTGATTCATTAACTACTGTATCTATAGGTACTTGAATATATTTCCCACTTTAAAAGTTCCTAATGACTACTCAACCGTCTCAATCAAGAAGTAGAAGTCTGCTTTGCCGTGATGTTACCCTCTTTTATTTTCAGCCCACCAGCCTCACCTCCAACAAGAGACTGTGTCCACATTAAGGGACTGTCACAGAACGTTACTGAGAATGACATCGTTAACTTCCTGTCCGGGTATCAGTCCTCGTTGATATGGACCCACATCCACTACAACCCCAAAAGAAAGTGCAACGGAAGTGCCTACGTTCAAATGTGCAACAGTGACGAAGCTATCAGATGCTCCAACGAATGCAACCAGAAATTCTTTACCGATTGGTATGTTTTCCCTTTATTTTCTAGAACATTTTTACTCGCTACTTAAAGTGTGGCATTGAATCGTGTTATAAATTAGGTTTGCAGTCCGTCAATAGAAATCTCGACACTATTTAATGGCCAGTCAGCAGTCCACTCCGGTTGACTTCTCTCTCGTTTCATATAAAAACTGTGCCTGTCTACTTTAGCCTCCACGTTGTATTGTATTATAGACTTGAGGCTTTATGTGCTGACAGTCACATTGGAGTTCAATGTGATTCTCCGTTCTAAACACTTATAAGATAAAGAAGTTACTATTGTGATGTGAAGGGGTTTAATTAGTTTGGGTACTATATCGTGGGAACAAATCGGAAACTAGAAGATATCTCCTTAATTTCTTAATAAATAATAAGATTATAATTGAACTTGTTATTGGTCAGTACGATTGATAAATTGCCTTCCATCAATCAAGGCGCCTCAATAACAATATTTCAATTTCTAATTTTAATATACCCTAATAAGATTTGGCTCATTTAATTGATCTTAATATCAAGAGCATGCTTTTCATTTATTTTGGTCTGTCTCAACACTGAATTCGAAGAGATAAGGCCACCTCGCATAATCAAATTTGCAGTGCAAGCGTGAACTATGCATCCATTTTAAGTTCGGACATCAGTGATAACTCCAACAAATTCTGACCAATTTATGGTCAACTAAAGTCCCTCGTGATTGACAACTCAAACGAATCCCACCGATTGACGATCATCTAAATTCAAACAAATTCAATAAATCAAAGAAATCCTGACAGTTGAAGATCAACTTAATTTACATATGACAAATAACTCAAACAAAACCTGACAACTAATTAAAACGTATTTCAGTACGGGTAGCCGTATCGTAGAAGTGGTGCCGTGCACCCAAGAGGAAATGCTCAACTCTGTTCGCAGCTCTTACTTCCTTACCCACTCCTCTTACTCCGTCCTTATTGGATCCAGTGCCTTCAATGCTCCTCACCTCGTTCAACCTAGAATGTACCTCCAACCTCAGGTTTGTGATCGCTTTTTTCAAACACAGGAAATATTCCGTTTTAAAGTGTAGATAACAGTGTTGACTGTGAGATGAAGGCGCCAGGCGGGGTCTAAGGTGCAGTACGCCACACTGATTGGAATGAGGTTTCACTGAATCCTATTGCAGTCAGAGCCATTTTTAGCTTCATCTGATATTACTTCCCTTTTAATAACGTTTAGAAGCCAATTTGCTGCTAACTCATTGGCCGGGTCAACAAACAAAAGTATTTTGCACGTCGTCTGAATACTGGGAAGTGGTGAGATACTGTCAACACCCCCAGCTCACACCTCCCACTATTTCAGATGCCGGCACCAGGACTCTTCTACTACTACCCCACAGCTATTCCTCTGAACGGGTACGGTGGTGGTGTGATGGCCGCTTCTCCCGCCACTCCCATGGTACGGTACAGGACAGCTGGGGCCTATCTTCCCGCCGCTGCTGCAGCTCCGACACCAGAAATGATGGATTACTCAAGCCTTTACAATGGGGTGAGTTAAATTGCACTACATATCTCGTGTAAAAACAGCTTATCTACTAGCTGTGACACAATCTTGATCTACAATATCATAACCATACTCAAATTATTGGTAACATTTAATTGTGAGGGACGATGTCCCTTCGTTCCCAAAGTAGCAGTGTCCTTCTGCAATGACCTATTCTAATTTTCCAATTTTCATCATTCGTAATGGGCATGTAACATTTTAATTGCAGTCCCTACTAGTCCCTTAGATATCATGCCCAACCATACCTTTCTAAGACCTCCACTAGTTGTTATCCCAACTAACAGAAATACCGTTCAACGGTATTTAATACTTTCGACGCTATTATCTAATGAATTATTTGAAATACATTTACGTTTAACGGAAAAATATTCTATTACCAAAAATTGGGATAACAACTAACTGTTATCCCAATTTTTGGTAATAGACTATTTTTCTGTTAAACATAAATTTTTTTTTGTTTTAAATAATTCGTTAGATAATCGTGTTGAAAGTATTGAAAATAAATACCTTCAACGGTATTTCTTATTTTAAACGCTAAGTTAAATTATGCACACTTTACTGAAGGAATCAAATATTGTTGAAAGTACTTAAGTATCTCTCAACACCACAATATAATACATAATTTGAGAATTGAGTATTATAAAGATGTTGAAACGTAGTTATACCATAACTACCACTGGTTTCTAGTCAGAATAAAACCTTAAAATTTAGTTGAAGCAGCTGTAAGTTGAGTGTGCCAGCGTCAAATAGGCCTGCATAGTGCATATATTAGAAGCGCTCTTACAAATATCGGAGTTGGACGGATAGATAATGATTCATTCTAATATTTTGCTGTGTTGCTAACCATAATAACCATATTCTTGTTCCAGGCGTACCAACACGACATACAAACCAGCCCGACCATGGAATACTTCACAACCTCCATGCTGCCTGACTACAAGCACGCCCAGTAAGTTTATACTCTGTAATATAGAGTCGGGGGGGGGGGGCAGTCTGTATATTACTCTGCAATTATCATATGTAACAGTGGGCCTTCTTACAAGACCTCACGAATGATCAGTCCCCTCCCCTTTATAAATACTGTTAAACAAAATGAAAACTTCACCCGACAGCTCCTTAACGTGATATTTGAAAACCTCCAGATCTGAAATTATAATCTTGTTTGCCACCTGACTGTATTTCTTGTAATTATTTGACAGCGAATTAGACCTTAATGAAATTTTATAAATTTATAAGTCAGTTTGAAATTGACAGGGGGTATGATATAGATTATAGATTAGTGACGATAACCCTCGTTTCAGGCACGCTGCATATACCCACTAATCATGATAAAAAGATGAGGGAGCTCTGAATCCTGAACTTACCGCCGCAATGTGTCCTGACTCCGATCATATCTCAAGAGACATCTCACATCTCCAGATGATATCTTGCGAGGTGATGATATTTTTAACGTGCTCAGCCCTCGGCATGATCGTGTGATATGATCGAATGTTAGAGGGCCGGACAGTATTCCATCTTCACATGTCGGAGACACTGAAAGAGAGAGAGGAGAGCGTGACAAACAAGATTCGTTAGTATGTCTGACAAGTTCGTTAGGCATTTTGGCTGAGTGCCCGTACGAGATTGATTTCGCGTCACAAGGGCGACTGTTATAGTTGTTAATAGCTCTGATAGCTACCCCTACGAAAATAGGTTTAAAGTTTTATGAAGATGCATCTTTATTTATTATTTCTGCTTTGATTCCGATATGATATATTATTATTTTGATGTTTAACTCAGCTTAGTTAAAATGTAGCGACCTATTTATTGTAACTCGCGATTGTTAAATTATATAACCTTATAAGCTTTGTTTGATAATATTATGTAATACAATAATTGTTTAAACATGATCCTTGGAATGATAAAGATTTTCCGACTTGTGCCATTTGCCCCTCCATAAGTATTGTTTCAAAATATTCATTCTCCACATTTTATTGTTGTAATGTTAATTTCGTGTTATTATCAAGCTTCATCCCTTCGTAACTTAGACGTATTTGTTAGGAACAATTAGTAACTAAAACTTGGTTAACAACACGAGTTGTTTTTGAAGATGGCTACGAAAGTTTGCAATCTGTTAAGGTTAATTGACAAAGTATGTTCTTAATTTTGATGTTTCCCCTTATAGTTTATACATAAGGGCCATTTCCTGTTCAAATTTTAAAAACTAGCAGCGCTTTCGGAGCCGTCTTATGTTATATCGTTCTCGTGATAAGACCAAGATTACATCATCACATTATATTTGCTGACAGTTGATGATATGAGCTTAAATTATGTCTGAATCCATAAATCTAGTTGCAGTTTGAAATGGAAAGAATTGTAAAATTATCCAAGCAGTATCGTCAGATGGACGACCGTTATTTTGAGATTTTGAGTTCTTGGACGTTTATGATTAATTGATATATTAATTTAACGTACTTTTGTAAGATTTTACTCGCTTTTGGTAAAGTGTGATTTGGTGTGGCCACGTAATCGATTGGTCATGATATGACCAAAAAAGGTTTTAGTAACTGATATAAAAAGTTGTAAATGATAGAATGTAGTAGACGTGGTCATGTCAAACTTACTGCCGTATATAAATACTTAACTTCACCTTTTGAAGGTTTTAAGTTGTCACGTGACATGTATTTTATGCGAAACTCAAGTTACCATGGTTACCAAGTTACCATGGTTACCAAGTTCCGCAGGGATCCTTTGGCTAGCGTCAGATATTTCAGGTTTTGTTATTTTTTCACCAAAGATTTATTTATACTGATTTTAAACCAGCCCTTGTTTAAGATATGTGTCTTTTGTAACCACAGGGAAACCGGGCAACATTTTGTTTTGAGAGTAGTAACCGTGCCTTTTTAGATGCTATAAAGCAAATCTGCCACACGAATAGCCCACTTTTTGATACTTTTTAAAGGTCTGGCAGGAATTGGAGTCAAGAACAAAACCCATTTCCTCCGACTTTTCATAGACTTTAACCGCTACTATAGAGTACCTTGCCATTCGTGTGGACGATGTTTTTAAGCGTTAATTGATATTTATACAACAGGAAGTTTTCTTTCGACTTCAGTGATCCACTGAAAGCCTATATACTTTAAATTTACGCTAAAATATATAACTGATAAAATGTTTAGCGTGAAAAGTGTCGTTGATATATAACAGAGATTTAGACAAGATTTATCAGCTTAGCTGATTGTTAAATCGTAACTTATTAAATGTTGATGAATATTTACTTGTAACATATATTGCCATTTTCATTTAAGCAGTGACGACATTTATAAAGTTTTGAGAAGTTATAGTGATAGCGTGAAAAAAGTTTTGTTTCGATTTAGATCTATAAAAAGACAACTTAAGCGTTAGAATTTGGTTTTGAAATTATAAATTATGATAAATAGAGTTGAAATTACAAGTGCAACAATATTGTACAATAGATTTCGATCTAATGAATGATTTACTTTATACCACCAAGTCACTTTTACCAAGTTTACGAGACAAGGTCACATAATAAATTCAATCCAAATCTTTCCGTATGAGACTGACTTGAAGAAGGTGACTTGATGGCTAAGTTAATATGATTTTACGAAGTTAAACATGTCAATATCGACTGTTTCAGCTGTCCAAATTTTGTAAAAAAATCATGTTTCACTTGTTCAAAACATTTATTATCTGAAGAAGAAGAAAACTTAATGAAAATTAAGAAAAATCCTGTACGAGATGTCGGAAAGTAATTGACTTGAATGTTGTATCTTAGAACTGTAGTTCTTTGTCCCCTAGAACAATGTGCCGTGTGGCCCAGTTCTTCTTGCACAAGTGACGATGAGGTCAAGAGGCTATGACCTCGAACCTTCGCTTTAGCAACTTCTCACCTCGCAACTTTCAAAGTTTTGAGGCTGAACTTTGCATCTCACAACTTTGCACCTCACAATTTTCAAAGCTGTGTGATTGAACTTTGCATCTCACAACTTTGCACCTCACAATTTTCAAAGCTGTGTGGTTGAACTTTGCATCTCACAACTTTGCACCTCACAATTTTCAAAGCTGTGTGGTTGAACTTTGCACCTCACGACTTTGCACCTCACAATTTTGCACCTCATAACTTTGCACCTCACATTCAGAACTGAACATTAAACAGGAGTAATTTCGTGACCTTTGGTTCCTGAATCTGTGGACTGTGTCCAATTGACGTCTAAAACGTGGTTTTTACCCTACATCAGCATTAACGTTAAATCTATGGTTGCTATTATACATCAATGATCATTGATCAAGGAATTAGAACATAAGAGCCAATACCAGACAGTGTACTATAGGAGTATGAGAGGTAGATGATCATTACTTTCAGTAATAAAATAAATATTTTATATTATACTATGCATCCAATATGTTCAAGTAAGAGAAAATAAAGTTTTGCTTTTTATTATCAAACTTTACACAAATCCGAAGTAGTAATATAAAAACATCCTAGGGATCTGATAAGTCTACGTGAAGAACTCTGAAAACAAACTTAAATATTTAACCCAAAAAAATTAAAGTATCAAAAACTAAACAAATTTCTCCAATGGTTTCTGTTCGAGGCTATATGTCGAAGTTCTGTCAAATCTGTCAAATTACATAAATTCATATTTCTTTTATTTAAATCACTCAAAATGGTTTTGAAAATACTGATCTGATGTCTACCAATTCTCCCTTTCATATTCTCCATACTCTCAACAGTAAAACTCAATGCTAGTTGGGGTGGGGAGTTACAATCACTTCTAAGAATATGACCGAGCATTTTCCAGCGAGACTTAGCATCCCTCTCTGTTAATGGAGTCACCCCACAACGAGCATAAAGGTCTCGGTTACTGATGATTCGGGGATAAGTGGAGTTCATGATCCGCCTCAAATGTTTGCGCTGCCACACATCCACTTTCTGAAGGATTTTCTCTGGAGCGGCCCAGCTATTGCAGTTATACAGTAGTACTGGGGTAACAAGGGCCTCGTATAATTTCATTTTGGTATCCAGTGAAATTCGGGACTTTTCCAGCCAAACTTTGTTGTACTTTTCGAAAGCAACATTAGCTAGGATACAGCGGTGAAGTATGGCAGATTTGCTGCAAAGTTTTGCTTTGCTTTAATTTATTAAGTTCTTAGTGCAATTAGCGAAATATTTCTTACCCGGAGTTCCTATTGCTGACCATTTTAACACTCATATTATTATTGATAAACCAGTCCCCAATCAAACATTCTTCTTTAACTACTTTCGACACATTAGTTAAAATATCGCTCAATCTGAAAACTTCCTTTGTGCAATATTACCGAAATATTTCTTGACCGGAGTTCCTAGTGCCGACCATTTTAACACTAATATTATTATTGATAAACCAGTCCCCAATCAAACATTCTTCTTCAGTCTTCAACTACTTCATACTTATTAGGTAAAATATCGCTCAATATAAAAAAAACTTCGGAAGCAAAGTTGTATATGTGACACTGGAACCTAATATCATGACAATTAATGGTTGCCCTTGTAGCAAGTGTTCCTCTAACTCGACAAGTCGCCAGAGTTAGCAACCCTTTATTCTATCAGAATATGGACTATGTTCTTGACACAAAATCCAGTTGCAATTGCAGCTCAGGTAGGTAACTATATCTCCACCTTTACCAACCGTTGATTATAAACAGACAATTCTCTCCTATTTGTTCGTGAGATATAGCAGAATTCAACCAAGTATGTTAATTATTGAGCCGTTAACAATTGTAGGGTTACGATAACAATAGTAAGGTTATAATATGATGTGCCTTAATCAGACATTTTACTCATTTAGAACCTCACAACTCACAAGCATTTAGTATGGCCCTTTCATGACATGAAAGGGCCATACGAACAAACTGGGATCCATGCTACATGATTGGGCGACTTTTGACCGACAGCAACTCTTGTCCGAATCAGAAATTAGGGTTTTCGGACAAGAGTCCTTATCGGCGATTGTTGTCTGAATTTCCAATTTTGTCCACTGTCCTGATGCTGATGTGATCCTACCGGAGACTCCCGAACCTGGAGACACCTGAAAGCCCTCCAGCAGTATCCAGATAGCCCGACACGTGTTACAACTGTTCGCGAACACGTGTCGGGCTATCTGGATACTGCCACCCCGGCAACCTATCAACATGGGCAGATGGCTGCATATCGAAATTCGGAATGTTGCACCCTACTAAGAAAACGCCTGGATCGGGACATTAACCACAAATCCTAACTTCGATCCCCAACATTTTATATGACAATAACTTCAATCAATTACACTATGTCCAATTATTCGGTATCAAATGCAAATGTAGCAAGTAACATTTTAGATCATATCTCTAATTGGAAATTTGTTGTATTCGGACAATTTCGGACAACAGTCAGTTTTTTCATTCACCTGATCACTGATTCGGACAAGATAAAAATTCGCTGTCGGACAGAAGTCGTGTTACCCCAGGCTAAAGTTTCCCTGATGATTAGTGAGTGGATTCAAACTCTTTTTACCTACGACTTTAAGGCCCTCTATGACTCTTTAACAGTTAACACCACCCCTCGACTCGTCATAGAGGCCTTAAGGTCCGCTATGTCATCATGCAGAAAAGATTGGTCTGAAGACTTCTGCCAATGGCTCACACAACTGGTGGAATTGAACCTCCGATCCTCTGTTGGGGTGTTGGATCAAAATTGGTTCATACAGCTCATTGATATCCCTACGGGTGGATCACTATTATATGTCCAAATCGCAAACATAGCTGTCTACTACCTAATGAACAAATGTGTTTATAGCGACCCAGAGCTCATGAAGAAGATCGTATCAGCCAAGCGTTACATTGACGACGGAGCAGGTTTGTTTGAGAGAACTACAGATGAGTTCAAAATTTGGATTGCAGATGTTAACAAAGCACTCCTCTCCCATGGCCTAATCATTGATGAGTACCAAATAGAAGATCGTGGTAAATACGTATCTTTCCTTGACATAATGTTCACCTTCGATTCCTTAGGCTCCCTCCAAACGGATTTGTTCATAAAGAAAACGGACTCTCGTTCATACATACACTTTAAAATCTCCCACCCAAACCATATCTATTCCGGTATCGTGTACTCTCAATGCCTTAGACTCAGAGGGATCATCAACTACCAAGAACGCCTCAAAGAACACCTTCACCAACCTCAAAAAAGCCTTCCTTGCCGCGTGTTACCCTAGAAAAATGGTTGAGAAAATTAGTAATCAGGTTCTCAATTCAGCAAGATCACTGTTACGCAAAGTTCAGGCTCCTGATGACCAGACATCTTTACACCTTCCAATCATGGTCATATCTACTTATGGTAGTGATGATGATCTGGTGTCTGTGACTAAGAAGTATGAAGAACACCTCTCAAGAACAAGGAGTTTCAGTGAAAGTGACACTGTTGAAACATCCCAATAGACCTCAACAGCTGCCACGCCTAGGAAGAAAATATTCAGTTACAGACCCTGGTCATTAGGAAAGTTCGCAAGAGATGGACAGTGAGCCGATTAAAATGTTGCTCGTACTAAACACGGCGTAATATCAACAAAACTGATCAAAATTACGTTAAAACAATCATTGTACGTGCGTGTAACAATCCTCGTTACCATGGTGACTACGCAACTTCCTATTTATCGTCTAATTTGCACGTGGGCGGTCGTACATACATTCTACATACAGAAATAGTTCTTTGAATTATAGTAGAGACTAGAAATCCCGTGGTGACAGGGAGAAAGCTAATAATATTCTTTGGTAGTTAGTTTTTATCGCATCAAAAAATATCCGTCACAACCGAAGATACAGTCGATTAAAATGTAGCTCGCAATAAAAAAAACATAATTACCACAAAGTCGATCAAAATTTCGCTCGCAAATCTTTGCACGTGCATTTTTGAGCACCGTTACCATGGTTACTGTGAAATTTCCTATTTCTCGTCTAATTTGCAAGTGGGCGGTCGTACATACATTCTACATACAGAAAGAATTCTCTGAATTATAAGTAAGACTAGAAAGCCCGTGGTAACAGGGACGAAGCTAGTAGTATTCTTTGAAAGAAAATTTTAATCGCATCAAAAAATATCCATCCCAACCGAAGATACAGCCGATTTAAATATAAAACACTTTAAACACAACGTAATTACCACAAAACCGATCAAAATGACGTTAAAACAATCTTTGCACGTGCATGTGTGCATTAAAACACCGTTGCTATGGAACCTTTTGGTTGTTACCTAAATTCCTATTTTTCATCAAATTTGCACGTGGGCGGTCGTACATACATACATTCTACATCAGAAATAATTCTTTGAATTATAGTAGAGATTCTAGTCCTAAAACTTTGGAAGTCCGTGAACATAAATGTATTCAACTACTCAAGACTTTAAAACCTTTGGGAATAAACACTATAAATCCTTTTGGCCTTCCCTTACTCCTAACATCTTAATTTTAATTTTATAACCGTTTTAAGAGTGTTAAGATTTTTAAAGTGTAAAGGAATTTTGGGGTTTACTAACTTTTTACAATTTGTAGGCTTATGTCACTGAATATGACGCCTTGCAACATGTTTGACGATAGCCTGTAAATTGATAGTTTGATCTCAGTATTTACAACAAATTATCTAGCTTGATTGATTCAAAGGGAGAAAAAATTCCTCTGGATTCA